ACGGGCCGTGGACTCCAGTCCTGCAAGTGGTGCCACTGTTCCTCATGTGCTCCAAACCTGGCACACCGTTGATAGTCTGGGGTTATTCTGGAAGGTCTTTTGGAGTGACACAACTCCTCCCCCTTCCCACAAGGGAAGGACAACAGCCTGAGATGCTCTGAGTGCACCAGATCACAGTCAGGACCGTCCTCTCAGTCCCACCTGCCAGAGGGTTGTTCCCTGCTCTGTTTCCCAGGAACCTGCCTTCATTTCCCCGCACAGCAGGAAACTGTTCAGGGCTGGATGGAATTAGCACATGGGCGCGGAGCTACTGTATGTTCAGGTTTCCCTAGACTCAGCCTTTCTTGCTGCCTGGAAATGGAGCACAGATGGGATTTGAGGTCTCTGGGGGCATCCACTGTGGGTCCCTGCACAAACGACCGTGGTGCATGAGAGGACCAGTGCACACACAGCTATCTGGAAAATCCCATACAGAAACATGGAAATCAGGCATGTTTTACCCTTCACACCGCTTTACCCTTCTTGAGAAGGGGGAGAGCAATGAAAAGCAGAGACACTGCAAAAGCCTTGCTGAAGTCATATAGCCTTGGGAGACCTTTTTCCACTACTCGAGCCTCTCCTTCAGATACTGGGAATGTGTGCGGGCATTACTTGAGTCCTGGCACAGCAAAATGTAGCAATTACTGATAAATGTAACTTAAGCATGTCCAGTAATGCAGCATGCTAGCCCTAGGTTTCTACTCCAGGGCTCAGCTCACAGGAGCAGTAGAATGGTCCGAGTCAGCCAAGGGGCAGAAAAACATCACTTTCAGCAACACTGCATGATCAAGGGGACCCTTGAGGGGTGGAAAAGGTCAAGAATTCCCTTATCCAACCCTTCCCCTCACTGCAACTGTGGCAAATTAACTCCTCTGTCCTCATCTGTAAAGTGGAGATACTACCTACCTACTTCACAGGAAAGCATAGAGCTAATTGCAAGGACAATTAAAGACTCGGTCCCAGAACTTGTTATCTCAAGAAATTAAATAGCAAATGAAGCAAGACTCCACAAGTGTCACTGAACTTTGACATTTGGAGCTTCTAGTCCACTGAGGCCTTAACAGCAGCAGTGTTTAGTCTGACATCTAAACGTTCCCTATGGCTAACAGCTCACCATTTCCAACAGGAGTGAATCTGCATGGTTCAGGAGACTGTGAGTCTTGCCTTTGTTTGTCTGAGCAGAATCTACTAAGCTGGTGGGTCCTAAGAAAGAAATAATGTGCCACTGTAAAGTACATACACGCCTCATTTTTCTAAGCAGTAATCAAGAGTATTATGTTACCTATGGTCAAAATGATTAGTCATGTTTCCAAAGATTAATTTACATGTTCTTTTGTTTAATGCGTAAGAACGGATTTAATGGCTGCTTATGAACTGAGCTAACAGTCATTTTGAGAAACAGATGTCCGGTACAGTTTTAAGCATTAAGAGTGCTTTTATTCATATCCTTAGGAGAAAAAGGGCTACACAGTCTACAGTAATAACACTAATGAATCAAAGTACTACAGCTGCCCAACAGGGTTTTGACAGAAAACAGCTTTTTCTCAAAGGAACTTCTTTTTTTAGGACTCTGGGACAGTGAGCAACTGGTAATATACATGCTTAACATGTAAGTATGTGCTTTGCTGGAGCCAGGACACTGAATCAAGCACTATCTGCAACCGAACAATGCAAGGCTTTTGCATAAGCACTGAAAACTGTAGCTGCACAAAGGCAGGGAAATCTGTGTGGAATCTGGATCCTCCACATTTTATACAAATAAATATTCAAAAGTTTGAGTGCTTCTGGTACTATTTTGTGAAGCTGAATGCAGAACAGGTTGTCTGCTTTAAATCCTGATAGATTATTGTGTGTGGGTGGTAGAGTTAGGATAAAAGAAAGGGAAGAAAGCTACTAGAAAAGCTGTTGGTGGCTAGAAATCCATGATAAATAAACAGCACATTCCTTTTCTGCACGAAGCCATTAGAGTCTGTGTCAGACTTCAACATCCTAATGTCAGCTGGGTGCAAATTTGACAGCCTGGGGTTCTGCAGCGCTCCCTATGGAAAGTAGATTTGGAACAATCTGCCATGCCCCAACAGAGCATTTCTTTCACGTTCCCAAGGAGCCTCCAATACACCAGTTATTCACAGGACCCTTGCAACAAACCACGGATTTGATATTTTATGGTCTGGTGTGTACAGTGTAGGATATGATTACACACAAGCCTGCTTCCCATCAGCCAGCACCTCGTAATCGTTAACATATTTATCCTTGTGGTGCCTCGAGAAGATGACATTGCTATTAGTCCCATTTTATAGATTCAGAACTGAAGCTCAATAGCTAAATGACTTGCCTTTGATGACACAAGATTTACAGTGAAGGACAGAGCTGAGTCCCAGCCCTACCAGGCCCAAGCAGGGGTCACACCAGAAGGACAAGATATATGTGCAGAGTTGTCCTTCATCTCAGGTGCTTGTAAGGCTTCTGAAATGACTGTATCTGCAGTGTGTTTTGTGCCTTTTGTGTCTCAGCCTTTGCTACTGCAGGTACCCATGGGGAACATGGATCCAGATATAGTACTACATGCAAAACCTGAACACTGATACATGCCTCTGCAGCAGCTGTAGAACTAGAGTCTCCAGATCATGCTCTTGTGCCTAACGGCACGTTGAGAAACTAACTTTACTCAAACGTGTAAGACATGCTGAGACAGTGTATTAAGAAAGGCTGAGACCTAATAAGGTCTCCCTCTTCTGCTTCGTCTGTACCACACTCTGCTGGAAAATATGTTGACTGATAAGTTTTAGCCACAGTAAAGGTAATCATCAGGTCTGATTTAAGCACTATTTAGAAGTTGTGAGTAAACACTGCTTTCCAGTACAAAATACTCTTCTCAGCATGGTCCCACTGTATCTGCTACCTAAACTGGAGAAGAGAAGCCACTCCACAAGTAGAAAAAGACCTTTTCCAAACTCCTCTCAAAGCAGTCAGTAAGATGGAGGAAGAAAGTGCTAGGACACACTGCTGGTGTAAGCTGAGGAGATCTCCCCCATCCCTCAGATACTATGACCAGAGCAACCACTGGCAGCAAGACACAGACCTGACAGCTCTCTTTCCTTAACTGAACTGCTGTTATGCAGAAACAGGCCAGCTACCAGTCTCCACAGTGGTAACCACAGACCTCAGAGAAATGTATTGATCTTCTAGGAGGCAAGCACTGGGAACGAGCCATTCCTATCACTCAGGCTCTAGGTAGGGTGGGTGTGCAGCTGCTCCAGGTAGAGTTGCAACAAAGACCACAGTCACATATATGAGGCTCTGAATTTGACCTGCCTTCCTCTGTCTGAAAACAGTTAAAAACCCAGGTAAATATTTGTGTGCTTCATCTGAGACCTCTGCTAACCTTTTGCCACCCTGTCTTGAGTGTCTCTCTGTTTATCTTACCCTGAAAAACATAAAGCTTTCTTATCTAAGCAACAGCTGCCTCCCAGCATTAAGGCTTACCCATCAGCTGCCTCCCTGACCTGATGCACTCCCCAAATGTTACTGGTTGTCCCCAACCACTGCAAACCAAGAGCTTTTACTGGCTGTGCAGATTCATGAAGGAGGCCATCTGTGAGAAATCCTGCTCAATACTTTTGAGCCTTCCAAGGCTGGATGTGATTCCTGCAAATCAGATGGTATAATTTTATTTTGGTAGGGCCAATGGGACCAACCAAATGTTCCAATAGGACCAATGCTGAGGCAAGGAAGTACTACTCAAAATCTGAGTCAGGTCAGAATCTGGCTCCATATAATTATTATATAGCAAAAGTATTCTTAAAGCAATAATAAAGCCACTGGAAATTATTTCTTATATATAAGCACCAATATCTCATGTTACTGATTAGTACCCAGCATCAGCAACTGACGTAGTAGTTCCCCTAGAGGACTGGGCAACTGAGAAACATTCATATGTAAGGCAAATCAGAAGTCACCCACAAAACAGAATAGGAAAGGACATCAGGGTCTTAACCAAGTATAAGAAATATTTTTTGCACGAAATGCTTGAATCAAGAAATGGGAATTGAAACAGAGTGGGATGCTGTCCCTGCCTGGCACTATGGGAAAGAGCTGATTTCATTATGATCTTCACTTTTAGAAAAAGAAAGCACAAATGTTCATCAGAGACTAGGAAGCCAAAGGAAATATCAAGATTTAACAGTGCAGCAAATATACATGCCTTTCTGTATAATTTGATGAAAACATTAAAACTGGCAGTAAGACATTTTACTAGTTGCTGAAATAAGCCTAAGAGGGGAAGGGGAGAAGGCCAAAAAAACAGAAGTACAGATGCTGCAGATGGCTTGAAATCACAGGTAATTACCTATAGATTCATTGAAGACAAATGTTACAAATGAGGAGAGATCTACAGGTCCATGTAGTCCCACTTAAATCACCTGTTAGCCTACAGGCTATTAGAGACCAGGGTGGTATTGGCATGTAATTATTGCCAGTACCTGCCTGCTCAAGCAAAGGAAGATCAAAGTCACTTGGAAAAAAAAAATCAATGTTTTAACCAAAAGGTTTGTAATTATGAACTTGAAAACAAAATACTCAGGCAAAACCATCAGCAAATGCTCTTCTATGCCACTTAGCTCTTTGGATACCATAGCACTGTTTGCCACAATACATTTTACAGATCTCCAGCCTCATCTCAAACACTGTACATTGTGAGAAGCAGGTTCAACAGAACACAGAGTCACTCTGCATTGGTAAGGTTTGTCTAAAACTCCTCTCAAAATCTGCCCTCCTGAGCACTAGCCCATTAACCCAACCTGAACAACTTTTCTCCCTCTATATTCTCCCTTTGCAAGTATTTGCTACTATCTTTCTTCTCCCTTTGCCAAGTCTTTTCCCACCCAGCTTTCACTTTGTTTTCCAGGCTGAGCTCTTTAGCCTCCCTCCTCCAACCCTCGGAGTGTCACGGTGAAACTTACGGCGCTCGGTCATGGTTCAACCCATTCTGTCTTTGTGCATTTATTGGAGGTAGAACAGGTTTGCTGTTAATCTCAAGCCCTCTCCGCAAAGTCTCCCTGATTTGCTCCGTATCTGCAAAGAGAATTTTTTTTAAACATGATTTAGAGTCCCCAGAAACATCATAGACACAAGGAGATTTTTCTTTTAAAGGCCTGTTTCTGTGCTGTGTTTCATCTAAACTGTTCACCTTCAGAAAGAAAACAAGATTCTACGGGTGAATTTGTAACAGCTTTTCCTGCACCTTAGGAGTTGTTTCACTTTATAAAGTCAGCCTGAATTCTCTTGGTCTGGGCTGTGATGTCATGGCAGGGAAGGAGAGCTGGAACCTTTGGTGCTGAGCCCTCCCGATGAGGAAATTCTGAGTATTTTTGTATCATTTCATAAATGAGGTGTTTGCTGTTTCTGCAGCTCTCACAGAACCTCCTGACACTTACAGCCCTTGTGCTGCAAGTCATTTCTCCCACTGGGCATAACAGGAATTTGCAAGGAGGTTCCTGCATGTTTGCAATTGGCTTTGCAAATCCGTTGATTAATTTACAAGACTCACAAAAGAAAGGAATTTTATGCAAGGCAACCTTTAGCCTTAAGCTCACATTTGAAAATAAACTGCAAATTATGCAGTTCAGATGCAGTCCTTTCTACTTTTTCATTTTTTCTATAATGTCTAATGGCTAAATATTTTAATAGGATGGTTTCCTATCCTTTCTTAGAAATTTCTTCATCTTTATTTGAGAAATGTGGCAGCCAGGCACAAAAACAAACAAAAAAAATCCAAATTATCTCAAAGTCTTTTGAAGGATACACATATACCACCATGTATACCCATTAGACCCAGTACAGTTCAAAATATTTACACAGAAGCCAGAAGGAATCCTATATGCATTTAAATATTTTTTTTAACAATGGACTTAAAAGTAAGTAAGATACAATTCCTGTGGAAACCACTGTTAATTCCAGGAAATCTCAAGCCCTCAAATTTTACATTGCTTCATCCATTTGAAGGGTAACGTGCATAATTTCAAGCATGTGTGACAGCTATGACATCTGTACCCCGAGATGGCATCTCACTGCAAAGGGGAACTCCACCATATTTTATTTCTTCTTTCCAGAGTTCCGTATTTACAAGTATCACTTGAGTCCAGCTACAGCAACATGCAGCATCAGTCCAACTTGCTACCCAAAAAGTGACAATGTTAGTAAGGAAACACGGCCTGGGAAAACGTGGTTGCTTCTACTTGCAGGTGTTTACAGTCCTGGTTTCACACAGTGCTCAGTTTAACTTTGCAGGTTTCAATTACAAACAGCCTAAAAACTGAAAGAAATATTTAGACAAAACAAGGCAAAGATCTATTTTCCTCTTTCCTGCCTTCCTCAAAGGGGCCACACCAAAATTTATTTTGCTCCCCTAAGACGTACTGAGCTTCCCAGAAACAGTGGTGTTTGTTATGGACCCCAGGATGCTGTGTGACTCAGCCCACTGCCCAGGTTCAACAGAAAACAAGGTGACAGGTGACAACAGCGACTGAGCCCAGGGTGTCTCACCTTTCCCAGAGAGCCGCCGTGGCTGGGTCCCAATGCAAATGCTCCTGCTGTCTTCATCATCCTCCGGGGGCCGGCTGAGATCATCCCAGGCACATTTGGCACTCACTCCACTCAGGTTTGAGCCATCTGTCTCAATCCCTTTGTCGACTCTCTCCTGCTTGAAAAGATCCAAAACCCCAAAACTTTTTTGGGCGTGACTTGAAGCTGAGCTAGAACCCACCCTAGCTCAACCCAACCTTCAGCAGCTCCTGCATACTCTCCCCTGCTTCATGGCCAGTTTCCACTCTCTGGCCCCCATGCTTTGATGTATCAGCAAACAGTAACTGCACATTGAGCCAAATGCAGCAGCAAACAGTGACTGCACATTGAGCCAAATGCAGGAAGCTAGTCTGAACTGGAACAAACCTTTTCCATAGCAAGTTGGTATGAACTCCTACCCCATCCCCATGGCTTCACTGAATGGGCCTGGCAGGCACAAAGTGGGGAAAGAGGTGGAAAACAATAGCCTGGGATTGCAGGGTTACTTCTTTCAGTGTTAGCTCTGCTGTACACCAGCTCTAAGTATTTATGACACTACATTACACACTCCTGTACAAAGCACAGCTTGGCAGTCCACCTATTTCATATCAATGACAATAAACCCCTGAAGAACTAAACTTAAGTTCTCCTTCCAAGCTTTCCAAGGATTCCCACAATGAAACCAGCTCACAGAGACACTTGTCATTTGCAAAAGTTCATCATCTGTAAACTGCCCAGACAACCACTGCTTTTCAGTGTGCTGAGATGTTCAGTGAAGGACAAATGCACAAGGAGACACAGGTCTGTTCTCAACATCAAAGCTTTTGCATAGCTCTATCAGCAAAATACACAAACTCCCTCCTTTGCAAGTCGGACTTTTCAAGCACATAACTACTGTCTGGGTCTCGGAAGGTGTCGCACACCAACCACAAACAGCTGGATGCTCTCAGACCCCGCACATCTGCTCAAGGTCATGTGGCATCTGTTGCCTGCAAGGTTGCCCTAAACCACAGCTAAAACTTCCAGAGGACACCTACCTGCTACGGGAACTGGCAATAGTCTGAATTTCCACCTACATCCCACAAGGTGGTAATGTTGAGCCGAACAAACTCAGGGCTGAGCTACACTGAGGACCGGCTGCTCTCACTGCTGTCACCTTTCCTCTGGCACTACATCAACCAGGCTTGTTTTCCCCTCTTTTGAAGTGGTGTCACTTCTGGTGACCACTCAGTGGCAGCAGCAAGATCTCCATCTCAGTGCATACACCTGGGTGACCACAGAATAGGCGATAAGTCCCACTTATTGTGGGACAAGAAACTTTTGAAGATTTGAGGAAGGAGCAGAGCCATGTTACACACAATGAGAGCGGACATCTCCACTCATTGTTGCTACCCTCCAATTCGACCTTGCCACTAGAGTCAAGAGACCCTGGGAGCATCCTGCACTTTGAAAAATCTGTTCCCTCAGAAGCAGTTTCCAGATTAAAGCCCACATACGTTCCTCCCCTCGCCCAGCTGTGCATGCTGCACCCTAGAAAAAGCGTTGCCGTTCTTGTGATCACTCAAGAGGATTTGAGCAGCTCAAAGATAAGCACAAGCACTCAGGGTGTGGTTGCACAGAGGTTTAAACTGATGTAATTCGCAGTGGCTGCGGTACCACCCTCCTCCATATGCTCCTAGCCCTTCCCTTAAGCCAATGCATTCTTTCTTTTCAACTGATCACCTCCATAAACTGGCTCTTTGGCTCGAGAGTGGAGGCAGAAGCCTGTGGCTGGTGGCAGGATAAGAGCAGTCCTGACTTAAATTTAAGCACTCAAGAAACTTCCTTCCTTCTACCCCTCTCCTTGAAAGACTGCTCCTCATTGGGATCTTTCTCTGGCGTCAGGGGTAACTGGCTCCTATGAAAACGTAATAGGAAAAACTGAGAAATAATAAATCTGTTGGGATTTTCTTTTGTTATATCCTAAACACAAAATTAGTTGTTTCACCCAGAAATAGAAGTTGTGGAAAAAGAAATAAAAATACATCCGATCCTACATATGCAAACAATTCTTAAGTGAGATTTAGCATGTGGCTCCTTTGGAAGACCTCTGTGGGTCTCTGTGAGGACCCAAATTGGTTGGCACGGGGAGGTTTAACTTGTCAGCACAGTTCTTTTTCACTCCAATGAATGGGGAAGCTTGGGAGAGCAACCAAACTTGCCCTCAAGCAGGGAGCAAATGAGCCCAGAGGGCCCTGAGGACTCCATTGAGCAGACTCTGGTGGGATGTGCTCCACCATCCCTGCAGCCTGGGCCCCACTCACAGACACGGTCAGGGCCTCTGGAGAGCACACAGAGCCTTGGGGAGGGGGAAAGGGACTCGTCATCTGCATCTCAGCTGGTTTGCAGAGGAAGCTGGTTTGCAGAGTACTTCCTCAGGGGAAGAAGTGCTGGTCTGTTGGAATCCCTTGGAGATCAAGGGGGCCTGATGGAAAAGAGCTGGCCTAAGGGAGCCTAAGTTGCACGCCTGTTTTATAATGTTGGCAAGAACTGATGCCGAAGAGAAAAGAAACACAGAAAAACCTTAACCACTGCAGACTCTTAGCTGGGGCAATGCACAGCTTCACCCTATCTTTAGCCATCAAAGATGTGTCTGAGCTGAGGGTCTGTCCTCCCTCCCTCGAAAGGGCAGCCTGACCAGGAGGTTGGAGGAGCCCAAGGCAAAGGAGATTCAGCTTTTTCCTTCCTCAAAGAAAAGATGTTTCTGTTCCATTTTCCTTTCAGTGTGTGGGAGGGATGCTTTGAGGCTCTTGTAAGTCATTGATCTCTTTCTAAAGGAGCCAGAACACTGCAGTGTGACCCGCAGAGCAGCAACCACAACTCAGGAAATTCAAATCAGCTTTATTCTCTTCTGAGATATCTGTTACAACAGAAGCAAAGCACTGAGAATCAGTACAGAGCTGGGGACCAACAGGGATTGTTTGACAGTGCTGTCAGGGGAATGTAAATGGCCTACAGGGAAGGCTGGCTGGACAGAAGACAGCCAGCATCACCACAGCATTAATTGCCGACATCCTGGGATGACATCTTAGTTGGGATCCATTCTCAGTGACTTCGAGTAGAAAGTACAGTCACTGCTGCCAGGGCTGGGTTTAAGCCTTAGCCAATTCCCACAAGAGACAACACCGCTTCAAAACAACTCTGCCCTCTTCCCAGGCAGGCAACATGCTTGCTGCTTACAGGAAAGTTGTTTTCTCCGCTTGCTCCCTTCCTCCCTCCCTCCCTCCTGCTGCACCTATCTCCACTGCTGCCCTTCAGTGCTCACACACCCTGTACCACCACCAAGAAAATGCCAACCCAGTGACACTTCATCCTCTCCCCACTCATCAGAGCAAGTGGCACACGACGTGGCTGGGAGCAGCGCGGCACAGGCCAGTTCTCTGTGCTGAAAGGCTCTTTGCAGGACTCGGTGCCACAGCAGCAGGTTTTGCCCTGTGAATCCCCAAGGGCTGCAGCAGCAGAGCAGGAAGGAGGCACAAACGCGCACACGCACCTGCACATACACACTACTGCAAGGGCAAGAGAGAACAGAAACAGGAATGTCTTCAATGGGAAGAAGTCCGGAAACACCACAGACATAGCAGCTTTCAGCAGCAGGACACACTGAGGCAGAGGTACTCTTTATTTGCCTTAACTTGCCTTGGCTGACTCAGATTCCAGTAAGCTGAGCTACTTTTCATTTACAGTAAATTGAAGAAAACACTGCTATCGTTAACAATCACCAGTGTGCAAAGAACAGAAACACCCTCCAGGAGGGGAGAGGACAAAATTCTGAAGAGCCTAAAAACTTTATGGGACTTGCAGTTGTATTAGCTCCCACATCGTGGGACATTTGTGGAACATTTTTGTGTCTCTTGGGCTGGGGTTATTTTAGATGAACAAATCCTTAAAAACAGTAAAAGCAGAATTTGGTTTTGTTCTTAGTTTTTCAAAATAAAAGATGCTGTGAGGCAACTGAGGGTAATCAGATGCAGACACGCAGCTCGTGAGTAAACGCAGCAGCCTGTACAAAACGTGCACATATGCACGTGCCCTGCCAGGCTAAGCCATAAGCTCTCCATTAGAGGCAAATAGTGATTGAGTGAAACAAGGTCAGCACCACACTGAACCTGCCTGGGACTCAGGTACTCTGTACCATAACTCTGCTGAAGGGGTGCAGAACTATCTCTCAAACGCACGGATCAGCAGTAGTCCACAGGATGGTAATTCCCCTGTGGAGGTCCAATTCTGATCATTAAATTTCTGAAATTAACTTGAAGTCTAAAGAAGAAGGTTTAATATATCTTTGTGCAAGGATTATTAATAACCAAAGGAGATACTTTTGGCTTCCCATTCTCAGACCATACCAACTACTTGGCCTCAAGTAACACCCTACATGAATGAGCTACATTTTCACACTTGCTGTGAAAAAATATTACTTTAATTGGTTCCACGTTTTCTGCATGTTATACCTCCCTTATACCTGCATATAAAACAAAGGAAGAACTTCCTGATCTATCTTCTTTAAACCTTGTATTGTTCTATGTTCTTTTATCTTCTGTTTTCCTCCTTTCAAAAATTCATCTCATATATGAGATAGTTTTCCTGGTCTCCCTTTAACTTTCTTCCTAGAGCTGCCATCCAGCTGGGGCTTGGACATGTGCACTCTTGAAGCACCTCTGAGAGGGCAGAGGGAGTCTCTTAAGACTTTCAGGATTATTGCAAACACTGAGAAGATCACAGCAGCTTTACAGAACATAACAGAGCTAGTTCACAGCATTAAACCAATTCTCCCTACTACGAAAGACATGACATTTATAAACTGAAGACATACTTGCAGATGTGGGTCAATCTCGAATATCGTCTCTCCTCTTCGCATATCCGTTATCAACCAGGGGCCTCCAGCTCTACAAAGAAAGAAAGGTAATGAACCAAACATGGACTTCAGCTCATACTCCCCGACAAGAGTCCTCAGAGTGGACCTGTACTGGAAGGAAGCACAAGATAGAGTTTAAAGCAAGCCTAGAAGCCCCTGTATGTGGTGTACACACACCCTAGCACACATTTGTTTTTTACATTTCCCAAACAGATAACGAAAGCCCTCCACGACCTAGTTGTTATCTGCCTAGTGTCTGGCACTGCCAAGCCTTGCCAAACAGTCAGGACTGACACAGGCTATCCCCTGTGTGGACCCACTTACTTGGACAAGACTGAACTGGGTGCTAATCTTACAGGTTTACTGAAATGGGACTGAGAAGTCCAGTGCAGCCTAGGTCAAAGAAAGATGGGCAAGGCATGGGGTCAAGATTTATACTTGTATTACACATGTAAAGACGCAGCAGGGTCCCAAAGGGACTGTACTTTTTTCTGAGATTGGCAGTCTTGTTCAGTACCATAGAAAGCTTTCTGCTCTAATAAATATCCTCACAATAGATGTTTTGCCCAGTTGGTACTTAGTGGCCAAATACTCAGATGGTTCAGGGAAGTCTTTGTTTTCATTAGCAATAAAAGTTGGAAGGGGCAAGATGTTTCCCAACGAAGGTGATAGAAAACAGATTCCCATGAAGATGTACTATTTGGGAGACTTGACTTTGGGTCACAACACAGGCAGAATGCAGAGGTCAGCCTTAGATGGTGCTTTTCATCTGAAGTAACAGCTGAAGTCTTTTGGAATTGCCATAAAAATTTTCTCTTTTTTCATCAGATACTTTTTTATTGTGGTCAAAAGCCCCCTCCTCTGGCCTTGTCTGTGTTACAGTCTCTTAAAGCATGTGGAGTGGGAGCAATAAGTTAATACTTTATAGCTTTATCAGTGCATTGATAGCCACTATTTTTCACATCACTTTGGAAGCTGTTAATTATTAACTGCAGACGTGTGACCTGTTTCAGTTCCTCACTGGGATGCAAGAAACTTTCACCCTGACTCTACATCAGTGGCTTAGTAGTTTGCAGCTTTGCCTTTGAATCATGCACATTTGGGTTTCATTTTATTGTTGGAAAGGTGCTTGTACTGCAGCACAAAAGCCAAAAACCAGCATGAGAACAGACTAAGGAGAGGGGTGCTATCTCTGTGTTGATTTAGAGGAGCCAAGGGAGCTGCAGGCAGTGTTTATTGTCAAATGTATGAAAAAAATATTTAAACAAAATGCCTGTAAGCCAAAAGAGTTTAGCTGCAACCTGGCAGCAAACAAAGCATCATCATATCATTTAACATTTAAACACTATCTTGTTCTTAACCCAAGGACATCTCATTTTGCCATGGGAGGAATAACAATGAACTTCACTTGCAGGAACACTCCTGTTGCAAACTGGCCCACCAAAAGTGCGGCTGGTTTGAGAATGATTTTCTCACTGTCAGACAGTACCCAAGCTTTGCTAGGCATTGTAAGACCCTCTCCTTCCTTTCTTTTGAACTGTACAGAGAGGTCACCAGTAACAATTATCCCAGCTCTCTCAGGAAGAATGAATGAGAAAATGCTGCAGGCGTAAGAGGGAGGAAATGAAGCTTTCAAGACCTCGTTCTGTTTCACCCTGAACATGTGGACTTCCATATGCATTAATTTGCCATGTAAGCGTCTGTGCGTGAGAACAGATTTGCAATGAATTCCCATCTCTTGCTACAGCACAGGATTAAGTAAGTTCCATCAACGAGTTAAAGACTGTTAATAAAAATAAACAACTGAATTGATCTCCAGGGGAATGCTCCCCTATATGGGCTATACGAGCACTTACACTGGCACAGTCCGAAGCAGTTCCAAGATCCCTTGCCCGTTCCATTGCTGAGCTGCATGCAGTTCCTCGGTACAAACCCCAACAATCTGGAATAAATGAAAAGAGAGATACTAAACTCAATAAGAACTGTGCAAGACCTGTAGAAAAAATGTACCACATGGTGTTGGATCCAACAGTGCAGACAGAAAGAAGCACCACTTCTTTAAACTAACTAGATGAGTGAGGACAAGTGGAGCCCGAGACAGCAAAAGAACTCTGCGATTCCTTATGCCCTCTCTCTGCACTAACCATGTGAAATGCCATGGTCATGTAACACTTAAACTTGCATGGTGTGTTTGAACTTAATTATGAGGAGATTCTGGTGACAAATCAGGATTTACCAAAGATCCACTAGTCTGTTCTCACTTTTCAATCTAGTCCACACAAGACAGGGCAGGTTAGGGTCTGAGCACATGCAAACCACTGCTGCGTCAGCCAGCTGCTAGAGGCAAATGCAATACTGCACCAGCAGTTTCCAGCAGAGGTGGGACTCCCTGCCACAAGACAGTGTTTTAGTCCTTATAAATCCTTGACCAAATCAGTTTGCTGACCGGTTATGTCTTATTTGGCACCATAGAGTAAAGCTGCTTACACATCACATAATCCACGTGTCACTGCAGGCGATTGCAGACTTCTGCCTTCCTGTGTAAGGCAGGATGCATTTGCTTTTCAGGATGGGAGCTGCCACACTGAGCAACACCAGATGTCCCTCACAGCAGCTGAGATCAGCCACTTCAAACGAAGGGGTGAAACACCCTTCAGCTGATAGAAGAAGGCAGTTTACTCCTGATCCATCAGACACTGGCTTGTACCTTTGAGCACAATGATTCACTCTTTCAGATGAAAAATTATTTTAGCCATGGTCTTCTATTTTCTTCCTTGATAATCTAAGTCTTTTCCAATGACAGTGAATTTTCGGTCACAATCTGTTCAAGTGATGTTTTATCAGAAAAACTAAGTTCTGAAGAGCAGCAAGCAGAAGTGCATGGTGTGTCTTTTGCTGGAATCATGTATCTGTACTGATAGAGATCTGTGTGGAAAATCATCTACATCAGCACACAGCCAGTTCTGCACAACCTACCTCTCCTGCCCCTTGCAGAGCTCGCTCTGTCACAACCCATCCCTTGGAGATGCATTTCATCCCCACCCATCTCCCAGGCTTCCTCCATTAACAGCCTGAATCACCCCCGCTTCAGGACACCCCTCCCTGGGCCTTCACTCACTAATTACACACAAACAGCAAGACTCTAAACAGGAAATTATTTTGTGTTCATTCTTTTTGTTTTGTAATCATTTATCCTCATGGGTCAAAATAAATCCATAACAACAAGCATCAAATAAAGGGGAAAAACAACTCAACTGTATGTGTTGTGGAAGATTAGAGGCCAAGAGCCTCAGGATGGAACAAGCTGACCATCTTTTGATCCAGGACAGCTGGGCACTAAAGAAGAGATACAGACTAATGCAGCACTAACTGGGGAGGCAGCCAGGAATCACCCTGCTTAGCTTGGCTTTCTGTCTCTCCTTCCAGGTCCCACAACTCACCTTTCACTGATTAATCCTACAACCACCTCTTTCTTGATGATAAAACACAGACTTTGGGGCACCTGAGAAAACTGAGCAAAGACTTTACAGAACAGTTGCCTTGTGCAGGTCTGTGGTAATGGAGATCCCCCTCACATGCGGCAACTACAGCCAAGGACAAATGGGAACAACTTGAACCTTAAATTGTAAAATACAGACACTTGCATTTTCCCACAGGATGGGAGCTTTTCTACAGAGCAGGGAGAAAACAGCAGTTGGCATAGACGATGCCAGCTCTTCTAAAAGGTTAATAACTCCACATGCAATTCAAAAATATCCAAAGCAGCTCATATCTAAGAAACATCACTGAGAATGAAGACTTTGGGAAAGTAAGCAAACCTGTTTGGCCAAGGAAGCTCCTTTCACTGAATAGTAGATTTAAATCACAAGAGATTTTAAAAATGCTTCTTTTGCAAAGCAAACCCAAACCTTTCTTAAAACAGTGAAGCAATACATGAAAACTCACTTAGCCTCTAAAGAACCTTTGCAATAACACTGCAAGCTATATTTCTGTAATTAAATAACACTAAAGCAACTCTAGAGCCCTGCTCCAAACTCTTCTTTTCCTGAACTCAAACCAGTAGATCACTTATCAATACTGCCATAGAATAAATTTGAATTTAGCTCTCCATTACCTTTTATAAGTGCTTTGCTAAGTTTTTTTTTCCTCTATGTTCATGTTTGAAACGTCAAAGCAGTAATGTAATATTCAACACCAAAACAACACAAGTCTGTTTTGGGGTGTAAATATTCTTTACACCAGGTAGACCTCTGTCTTGAGAACCAAGCATGCTATTGCTCAATCCTGGTAGAATGTCTGCTGGATACCTCCAGAGTAACCACTCAAGATTAGATTCAGAGTAATCAAATAAGGAGGAGACGTGGAAGACAGGATAATATGCATCTGACTTATCAAAGCTAAATGAAATGTAATGTTAGCCAAGTTCCACTTCCAAGAGGTGACAGTGAGAGCCATTGCTGCTGGGCCGTACCTGTAGGAAAGTAACAACCCCAAAAGGAGTGTGCACAGGCTGCATCTGAGGGTCTTCTGTCAGTAACATATGCTGGATTCTAGATTCACTGTTGTCCAAAGGGCTGTGCCATGATACATGGTCACCACTGCAGAAGGTGTTTTCTGAAAAAAATAATAATAAAAAAAATCATAAATATTTAGTCCATAAAATCTAGCAGAATATTCCTTCTGTGGCATCTACTTGTGACCATTGTCAGTCAGGGACCCCTGGTCTGGATCAGGACAGTCACTGGTGGCTATTCGTGTTGACTGCCTCCAGCCAGCTCTGCTGAGCCTCCAAGTGATCTGAAGCACCTGAAGTGGGGAGGGCGTTTCACTCACTCACTGGAATTCAAGCACTGACTTTAAATTGCCCACTCCTGAGTCCTGTGGCAAACAAAAAATTGTGTCCTGCTTTGATATTAATTCCAACACAGAAATGTCAACAAGTAAAATTAGCTTGCCTCTCATTTACTATTTGTCTTACTTTGTGATGGGGCACAGAGTCAGCAGGACATGCTGGATGATTATGGGATGGAAATTCATGCTTAATTGGCTGCTCGGATTTGCCACAGAGAAAGGACTCTGAAATGTGAATTAAACACAAATAATACTCTGTTATAGCTAATAAAAATCCACAGTCTGCTGCCCATCATGTGATGTTTTAAGTCAAAGTCACTTTCTCTCCCAATTGTCTGGTGGCTCTGGTGCAGAATTATAATTAACATGTTCCTTCTTTCCCAAACAATAAGAAGACCAGTATGTTTCTTTCTGTGTCAGAATTTCACTCTGCGTCAGAACAGACTGCATCAAAACAAGGAGCCAGAAATTGTCCTTCTTTCTTCATGACTGTAAGCATTCCTTTCTCTCCCTCCTCTACTACTCAGAAAGACAAAACCCCAGATAATCCCATGTTCCACAGCCGCTGCTTGCCAGAAGGCACACCAGAACCCATCTGTATGTTGCTGCCCCATCACAGGAAAGGCGAACACTGGCTCTCTGAGTAAGCTACAAGTGAAAAAGCCAACCATGACTATTTTCACAGCAGTTAAAGCATACTCCATTTGCACAGTTTCTGGAGCATGCATGCAATAACGCTGCCTAGGCAACTGCCTTGTCCTTGAGTCTTGGGCTTGTCCCACTCCAGGTACAGCTTTTATAGCACATACAAATAAACAGCATGGCATCCGTGTTCTGTCCTGGGACCCAGGTGTACTGCCCCAGAGATGAACTGAGTACTGCCTGCCTGCTTCCAAAGTCAGTGGCAAGCACAGCATCCCTCTCCCTGATCAAACCATGGTCTCTCCCAAGGCCACGCTTACAGGAGAGTAGGAAGGGAGGCCCCATGTACTGGAGGAAGACTAGGACTTAACTGTAGACTAGAAAATGTTAATGGTTAAACTTGAGTTGTCTGTCAAGACTGAAGCATCTCATATAATATATATAGAGCAGGATTCAATTCAGAAGAGTGTTCTCCTCTCTCCAGATGTAGTCCTTGATCTTCACCTAACTTTCCCACATCACCTTCCAAATATGTCAATAGGACATCTCTTAAATGTATGTTATCTATCTGTACGGCTTATCTGAGAACTCTTGAATACGGCAGTTTCTGCAGCGGCAAGAGAAGGAGCACCTGCCAGTAACTGCAGCTTTGTCTCCAGTGACAAAAAACAACAAACACTGAGGAATCAGGGGCTTGCACACCCCTCACTATGTATCAGCACCACCACAACCGTGTCCACGTACGCTTGGCCACCAGCAAGTGCAGAATGCTCCGAGAGAGCCGCCAGCAGCAGGAAGGTGACCTAATGAGAGTCATCTCCCAGTGGCTGTGGTTGAAAACACTCTCAGTCATCTCCTCGACGAGCTACCTCCTGCTCACCCACCGCTGGTGGGTTTAATGCAGGGTCTCCTGGGCAACTCGTAGTTTCTCCACCAGGTGTCCCCATTGGTGTATGTTTGAACATAAGCTATGTTTTCTCAAATTAATTTCTTGGACAGCTCATTTTATTAAGAATTAAAATAAACTCCAAATACCATAAGGAACTTGGCCTGAAAAATGAGGCACGTAACAGAAGTGTTGTGATAAGTAAGGGAATGTTTTCCTTAGTTAAAGTTAGGAAAGAAAGAAAACATAGCAAACGCAAGCTGTTGGGATAGAGTTTGTCGTTATGTACACTAAAGTACACGCTTTCAGCTCTGAGACTGAAAGGAGTGGTTCAGATATTACTTTACTTCTAGACTTGGGGAAATGTAAGCAGACAGTAATTAAAAACATTATTTTTTTTAGTATCAAAATTGGATTAAAGAAATAGCACTTAAAATCTTGCAAAGGATCTTGTGCTGTTTTCCAGGTTAGCCAAAACGTGGCTGATTAATTTTTTTTTTTTAAATGATAAAAGCCTCTCAGTCACAGTTTTCAGGAATGAAACAAAGCCACAAAAGGCTTATTCTTGTGCCCTGTCTTTATACCACAACATTTTGCCCATCAAATGCTCACACAATTCTATGCTGATCGATCGCTGCATTTCATTGCTGGTGCTGCTGCTTCTGGGAAAGCCCAGCCCGTTTAGAGCAGGTTTTCAAATGCAAATGTCTCTGCTGGAAACCCACCTGTTTATCTTCATGTGAACACTGGACACTTAGAAAATCTTCCTCTCCCTTGCATGCCTATGAAAATTCACACTGACTACTCCATTAAATCATACACAAAAAATTCTCCAAATAACATGAAGCTGAAATAAAACCTCTAAGAGTGCAAGAAATTCAGAATTACAGCCTGAAACTCAGCTCTTTGCTTGTTGCATTGTAACCCATGGGGAACGTAAGATCAGCTCTTGTACAGAGATCACTGCAGCACTGAGGACAGCTTGAAGTGCAGGACTTGTAGTCACAGAAACTAAAACATTAGAGAAACAAAGGACTAGATAACCACCTTCTCTTGCCTCATGCTGGAAACAGGGATGAGCATCCTGCTTCTTCACCTTTCACACTCACGTTTTCAAAGCAAGACAGTTAAGATTGTTCTAAGCATTTAAGTTTTATTTTGCCCAAAAATCCTAAAATCTGAAAAAACTTTAGGATTCCTCCAAAGTAAATTTATAACTAAACTCATATATTTTACAAATGTTGAATTAGATCATCCACATAAATCCTGAAAGTCATCACAGCATAGATAGATGTTTTCTGAAAATTCTCCTTTTCAGGAGTGGGAGAGTTAAGGGGTGCTGTATGGGAAATATATACGTGTTCCCATAAAACCAAGAGACAATTAGGCACAGGACACACGTGCCCATGTCAGGTACTAGAGGAGCACAAACACCTTACCAGAAGCAACACACTTCAGTCAGATGTGCCTGAAGGTAGCTCTTTTTGCTTCCAGAAATGCATCCCTGTGTCTCCCATAACATGCAGGCTAACTGGAGAAGGAGCCTGCCATCTCCAAACTAATTTCCCAGATCAGTGCTTTGTGCAGTGCTATGAACCACGGATGGGACTAGGACCTGCAGTGACAATGATGCCAATGGAGGCCTCTCACCAACACCTCTCAGTACATATTTCGATGCTACTGCAGATACCAAATGAGACATCTACACTCACAACTGGAAGCTACTTATACACGAAATACTTGGAAATACAAACATGAAAGTAAGTATTAATAAAAATGTAAATAAATGTTTTATGTAAAAATAAAAGTTTACAGGAAGGAGGTTATGCCCATGGAGCACTGACCCAGTCTGACAGGACTCGCTGCTTGCTACAAGCACTCCAAAACCATTTCTAGTTTTAGGCAAAAACACGATTCCCCTTTCAGATATGCAGAACATTGCTTTGCAAATTATCTCAGTTTAGTAAACCTGAAAGTTTATAGCCTCAGCAACAAAGCTGGTTCTGCATGGATCACACCACAACAGATACTGTCCAAGGCCCTTCCTGATTCAGGAGAAGCCTCTGCTTTATCCAAGGCCCTTCACAGAACAATCTGTCCACCACTTTTAACTCCTAACAAGCTCTGCTACGACAGTCCTTTGGACGTGCTGTAATGCTGTGCAGATCAGCACCTGTGGCAAAGTTTCTTACTGGTTTTAAGGAGGGATTGAAGCACAACAGATGTTACAGAAGTCTTCTCGCACTCTTCCTTAGTGAGACAAAATGCATCTGTGTCTAGAATCCAAGAAAAGGTGAGAAGGCTTTCAGCAGTAGCTGTCAAAAATCAGGGACTTCCACTGAACAAGCACCTTCTCTGCCATTACAAGAGGGCAGTGAGCAGTCTGGGAGCAGCAGATGCCAGGACTCGGGTGTCACTTGCTGCTGCAAAGGCTTCTGCCTCTTTGCACTTCTGTGTTACCTGAATCCTCAGCAAAGTGGAGAGATGCGACATGTCCAGGGAAATAACTGTATATAATGGGAGGAGCTTGACATGCTCCTGTAATAAACAGCAAGCTTCAACCCAGCCGCTGTATTCCCAGTCTCAGGAGTAAGCCTGCAGAAGACTTGTATGAATGGGGGAACTACAGACTCTCTCTCCTCTGTGGATGTGCACATTGTGGATGGACTTGTCACTGCCTAAGGAGGAAGGAGCTCCAACTACAGCTTATTCTACAGCTATGGCACACACAGGAGGACCTTGTCTAGGTTGACCTGTGTCTACAGTCAAGTGTAATTCACCTCCAATCTTCACCACTGCAAGGGACATAGTGAGCGTTTTTTTACTCACCTGCTCATTTTTACAACCCTTTAAAAAACAAGTCTCCCCAAGAGCCCTACCACTCTGTTAAGTCTGTTTGACGCTGGCCAACAGGTTCAAACACCATTGGGGTAGCACAGTCAGACTTCTAGGCACAAGAACAGCATGACTGCATAAGCCTTGTTTCCTCAGGTGAGCACAGCAAAAACAAGCCATTGAAAAAGTTACCAGGACCTCACCAGGGAACTGTCACACCCGCAGGACAGATGGCAAGGCATGGAAATGATCTAGCCATCAACAGGAGGAATGAAATAGCAAAGGAACTGAAAGAAAATATGCTAAAAATTTAAATCCAAATTATTTTAGCATATGGATAAATCAGCAAATCCTCAGGAGTAAACTAAGGCTCTGATTTACTTCATACAAGCTCATTCAC